AAATACAACGCCCTTGAGGGGCATGCTTTTGTCATTATACCAAATATTTACCCATCGTAAACCGTAGTTGAGAATAGGTACTTGTACCGCAAAGAACTTGTCGAAGATGCCGAAATGGATGATTGGACCATATATGTGTCCCTTGGACAAGGCAATCTTGGTATTGTGATTGCCTTTGGGCCAATGGTTGTCGTAGTGGAAGCATTTGGTAGAACCCCAATTCTTAATGACAATGAAGTCGCCCATTCGAACATCGTTAAATGCAGGACGACGATCCCAATCTTTTTGCATGATCTTTGCTGTGATTGGTCGAAGAGCTTCACGACAATGTGATAATGCAATCAACCATTCTTTATCATCTGCTTTGTGATTGGTCTCCTGGATCATAGCACGTACTATTTGCTCGTCCAAGGCGTCCCCTGCGGATGTATGGCCAGCAGGGGTTTCCCCCGGCCTGGCCGAGGGTGCTGATGCTGGCGTCATCCTTGGAGGCTCCATGTCTTGGTCGGGGTCGATAGGTGCCAATCCAGGTGGGTCGTCAATAAGTTCTCCAGGAAGGCAGGCGCAAATCTCGTACTTGCTCAATGGCTCTCTGGCTGCCAATGGCGGGTAGTCCCATGGGTCGCCGTCTGGCCACAGCTGCTGGCCATGCATGTGGTGTGGTTTGAGGCGGCGAATTGCAATAATTGCCGCAGCGGGTACCACGTCCTCAGTCATGATAGCGCCCTGAGCACCCAACCAAAATCTGCAACCTGCTTTTGTGGCGATCTCCATGTTGATCACCAGCTCGACGTCGTTCTTGTAGCTGTTGAACTTGTACGATTCCACTGAAGTATGTGGGTTCTTTTGAACGTTGTTCAAATATGTGCTAGAACTGAAGAATGCCTCAGATCGCTGCGATGGTTTATAAGTTCTGTCTCTCTGAGAATGTGGTTCAACATATCCAGGAATGATCCCTGTCTTCAGTATGTTCTTCCAGGCGCGGGATGCTGTTCCATGATGGAGATATTTGATATCTGTCCACTGTAAGCTCTCCCATCCCATGTTCCATGGCTTTGAAGATGGGTTGACACAACTGTGACCACCGACGCACCGAATAGCAATAACGCTGTTCCAGTCAAAAGTGCTGGGGTCACCTCCGTCAGGAATCGGCTTGGCGTATATCTCGATTCTGTTTTTCTGCGGGTCAATATGCTTCTGGAACGCACGAATAATGAATATCGGATAGTAGTCGTTCCAATCGGTGTATCCATCATTTTCACCGTCTTTCTTGAAATGTGCCACTGCCGCTTCCATGGATGGTCCATTGTGGCTTTCTTTGCGATCTCGGAATTTCCATTGAACCATTTCTTTAAATGATTTCCAATTGTTTGGAATATTCCAATCATTCTTTGTGGTTTTGTCCCAGATATTAATACGTCTGCCATGAGATTGGTTGATCCAAAACTTTTTGTAGTGAATCTCATGGCGTAACATAGTCGTGATGTCTTTGCTCATGTATTTGTTTGTTCCCAGCCATTCTTCATCAATTAGCTCAGGACCATAACGTACATCGTCGTAATGTGGTAATGGTATCCATTTCCATTCTGGGAAACAACCAGATTGTGCAATGTCAGGCGCATGAGCAATTACACTATCATCATGCAGTAGCTGCTCGTACCACTCTTGGTCTTCGATGCAGGCAAATCCATTGGTCGCTTTCGTGCCCCGCAACATTGGGCACATGTATGGATGTTCATCTTTGACGCCATACTGTAACTTCCATTCGCGAATAGTGCATGAGTTGTCGAAGATCCCGAGCTTGCTGGTATCCTCGTGCATGGAACGCTCACAACTGTCCTGCCATGACAATATATTCATCTCATGTGGAGAAGGCTCCTCCTCAGCAGGAGTTGCCTCCAGCTCCATTGCCTCAAGGTCGGTGCCGTCATCAGGGATCGGTACCGCCTCAGCTTTTGGGAGCTGATCTGCTGGTTGTTGTTCTGCTTTAGGCTCTGGAGTCGATGGTTGCGACGCTTTGATCGATTGCGGTCCAGGTTGCAGTGGATCAGGCAATGGGCCTGGTGGGGCTGGCTGTGCTGTGTCATCAGCTGCCCTCCATACGGCTGTAGGGACATTAGGGTCATGACCCAAAGCAACTCGATCCAGTGCATTCTGTTTGAAGAATGTTTTGCATGCCTCGATGTTCTTCTCGTTCTCGGCAGCTGGGCCGATGCGGTGAGAAGACAATCTGTTTTCTTCTGCAATGAGTCTTGATTTGGTCGCATTATCGTCTCCATCCAACTCTTTGATCTGACGTAAGAATTGCTCGAATACAACCCAAGTAACTGCATGTGCATCTTCAACTGTTTTGACGATCTTGGGTTCTAGAAGTTCATCTTTCTCAAGAGAATGCCAAGATGCCCAAGCCCCAGGGTATTCTTTGATCAACAGCATAAGGTACTGGAATAAGTCATTGTATGCCATAACCCATGGATCATTATCAGGAAGGGTTTGGTCAGGATCGCTAGGGTCCGTTGCTGGCGTACGTGTAGACCTTCCAGGAGTCGGCTCAGTCGTGTCGCCCGTCTCGGCAGGCAGTGATGCCGGCAATGTGCCCTCGGCACATGACGCCATCCACGCACAATGAGCCATCTCGTTTGCCGTCTGTGTCATCAATGTTGTGAGGCTGAGGTCTCTTTTCCATTCGTTTGTCAACTTTTCTCTGAAGTCGAGGGCTGCCATGATTTCCTTGGCCTGAGTGTAGGCCTGGTTGTCCGTGACAGAAGTCAGCAATGGCGGCCTGAATGGATATGGCTGAGAAGGAAGAGACTGTATCAATGCGCAAAAATTGCGATAGCATACTGCGTCGCAGAATTGCGTTGTAATCATTGCCATGTTATGGTTATTCTGTTTGGCGTGCCAAGCCTGTGGGGTAACCCTATCGTACGTATCCACCCAATGGTCGGATGGAAGAACAGTGATACCACGGTTCTGCATGATAGTGATCAAGTCGCTCGTGTGGTGATCAAAGTTCGGGCGCACGCCCCATTGCGCTGCTTTCCCAGGTCCCATGACCGTGGGGCAGCGGAAATACTGCATCACATCGACAAAACGTGATACGTCCACGAGCACGTGTACGGGCATGAACGTCGGGACGCCGCCCTCACATTCCATCTTTTGGAGCTCGTGTACGTTGGTAGGAGCACGACTGTGATGTCGGCGCATGTCGATGGTGTTCTGTCCAGGATTAGCACATGCGATGTCGTTCGCACTCCATACTACCATGGCATTGAGTCCCCTGTGATAGTGTCTTTGTTTTATGGATGATGGGAAATCATTGGCCCAGTATTCCCAGATGGTCTCGTTCAGCTCGCGCCACTTCTTGATGGAAGCGTTGTCGCTTTGAAACATGAGGCCTCTGGCTTCGCGGATCTTCCTGATCATATTGCGCTGCTCGAGAGTGTTCTCAAACTGATTGTTGAGAAGAGCGTTGATACGGCTTTCCTCTTTCTCGAAACGTTGCTTGCGTAGTTCCTCCATTCCGTATCGTACGCCCTCATAACCAGCTTCAGGCAAGAGAACGCAATCTTGACCGATCGGCGTATCATTCTGTCTGAACCATTCCCTGTAATTGCCAAAAGAGAATGCCCACATCATGATGTCGTCGCGGATCATGGTCGACAGGTGCTCAAGAGTAGCGCCACCCATGTATTCCGCGCGGTTAAGGCACGGCATGAATAGCGGAACAAGAGCAGTATTTGATGCTTTGGCGAGGTCGATTCTCTTCTGGGCAGCGTTGAGCTCGTCGATGCCGAAAGTGGGGTACTTCTTGTGTTTTGCACCCTTAGCCCCTTTCTCCGGATGCATGATCCATGTTGAGTCCGTGTATAGGTTGGTCCATTTGTACGCATGACCCGATGGCCCAAATGCATGATGTAATAGTAGTCCCAAGTCCTCTTGTACGAGGGAGTGCCACCCATTGTCTGACAATAGGGTAGAAACCAAGCGACCACCACAGAAAGCACTGTATTTTGCGTGGTCCAACTCGAATGGGTCCACATCATTGCCAGGAGTCATGCCAGGATCATTCGAACCCATGTGGTCAGCAGCGTCGCCGAAGAAGTCGTTGCCCTCGTTGTATGGTGTCCAACGATAGGTACGCTCTGTCTCTTGTGGATCATCCAATATCGCCACCCAACCATTCGGATGGTCGGATGGTGTTGCCACCGTCTTGGAGTTTGATCCGATACTTCCAAAGCCTCCGCGCGCAGTCAACCATGTAGTAAGCTTGCGGCGGAACTTCTTTGTTTGGGTAAGGTCGGAAAAAGCTCTCGTGTTGGTGACCAAGTTATCCTCGACGATATGACCGATGTGCCCAGATGTATCCGATGTCCTGGCGATGCCAGGTGGACGAGTAGGTAGCTTGCACGATCAATTTTAGGAGCATAGCATGGCGTTACCAATCCATTCTGGTATACATCGGATGGTGCACTCAGACCATTGTTGTAATAGTTTTGCGTATCCGCAACGCTGTCCTCGGTGTATTGTCCCAGAACTGCACTGCCAATTTTGGACCAATCGTTGTGAATAATCATCCACTCCGTCTTCAGTATCATAGTAGTAAAGTTTGATGGTGGACATTTGCGGTCTGATCCTGGGATCGTCGCATTCAAATGATCATGTAGTCCACGAACACTATCTTGCACTGAAGGATTACGATTGAAAAGGCTGGAAATCATACACATAGCACGCATGAAAGATAGCCACGGCGTAGCTGTGAACGTGTTGTACTCGTAGTTGGCGTTGCCGCCGACGGATCCACTCTCAGTGCTGGCCCATTTCTTAGCCTCGACAGACGCGAAGCGGGCAAGTTCACGGATAGAAGACTCGTCGGGTACTCGAAGATCAAATTCTCCGCTCCGATCGGCACGCCGTTGATGTATGCATATGTAACCATCTTCGGGATCACGAGGACGACCAGTTTGAGCGTGGTACGCAAAGCCCACGCGGTCATCGTCCCTGGCGTTCGGGTCGTACTCCTTGTCGTAGCCGATGGGCCAGCCGACGAGGTTGAGCGGCTGTGCCTGATCCATCTCGTGGATGGAGGGGTCGGGATTAGAACCGATCTCACTTATGTTCGCCTCGCAAGCGGCAAACAGGATGCTTGTAAGCTTTGTAGCTCGAGTCGTAAAATTGCTGCGGTGTGAACGAATAATCAATGTCCTAACTCTCTCTGCATCTCGTTGAGGTGAGGGAGGATGGCGAGGATGTCTACCGCGCGGTGAACGTGCGCGTGAACGAGGTGTGCGCGACGCAGTATCTGCGGCTGGCACGCCATAGCGGTACACGCATGCACATAGCCCCTCATGGTTAGCTTGTCCAACACACTGAAATCCGCATTCTGATCCTACCTCGCCCCATCTTTCTTTTTCCGTCAGCAATATCTTGCATATTTCTGGGCATCCATTCAATTTAGGAGGTTCCGCTTCATGAGGTAAACCGTCGGGCCTCCGAGGCCCTCGTATCGGCGGACATTGTATCGGAGTAACAGGAAAAATAAGCGAGTGTTCCAAGAGGTCCTTCCGAAGGTCTGCTTTCTTGGTCTCGAAATGTTTGGTCATCATATCTGCGATCTGCTCTTTTGTTCCTACATATTTAAGCTCGATATGTTCAATTTGACATGTTTCGCATATCCAATCCAGATTGATACGATGAGTACGATGAAGATGACGAAGTGCTGGTGTACGTCCCTTTTGGACAATTTTGATAACGGCCTGGTTATCCTCCAAGACGATAAGTCGTACTTTCGGTGCACTGATCTCTGGAGCTGGCTCTGGATCCACGTGTAGTACGGTACCTTCATGGGATATTGTACGTCTCTTTGGAGTCGTAGGCAAATCCGTATTTAGCGGTAGTTGCCTACGGCCAGGAGAAGATCCCCGAGTAGGGGGTGCCTTGCGAGGCGATGGTTTACGCTTCTTTTTGGCTGCCAATGTAGGACACATCGCCGGGTCAACGTGTCGATGGCAACTCAGGCATGTATTCTTCTCTTTGCATGTTTTGGCAACTCCCACCACGGCTTCCCAGAATGATAGTAGTGGTAACCCTTCCAGTCGTAGTGCGGAATCGAGAGCAACGATCTCTGATTCAGTAGATGAATGTGAAACAACCGTTTGTTTCTTACATACAGCGTTGACTGGAAAGGCATGATGGATAACTTGTCTGATGAATCACCTATCCATCCGTGTAAGCAGTGTGTACGCGTCGTTTTGATGTAGCATATCAACCGATGTAGACGTTTGTCACATGTAGTATTCCATTTGGTAATTTCTCTGGCCAACATACATACCGGATGTAGAAGATCGAAACGACAGCAACGTGCCAAGTACAGGATCTTCATTAGTACACTTGCCGCGTCCTGGCCGAGAACGCCCTCGTCTGAATAGTCGGACTCAGTGAAGGAGGTGTCCTCGATGCCAGGGGTCTCTGCGTCGGGTAGATCATGGTATGTGGCGGGTATGGTATTGGTAGAAGTTGTGTCGATCGATTTTGCTGGGCTGGATGATCTTGTCCGTGCGTTGAGCACACTAGTAGGTCTGGCGACCGACCCGGAGGAAGATGGCGATTTGGATCGCGAAGCCCTCGGCGAGTCGGATCGTTTCCGACGTGACCCTTTTCCCTGGGCGCGCTTGGAGGCGCATTCCAGGTACCGCTCAATGCACTGATCTGTAAAACCAAGCATGTCATGTCGAATACCACGAACGTGTTTTGCCGTATTGTATTCTTTCTCGTTGTGTGCAGGTAGCATAGGGCGTATTGTGGACATTCTTTTGTCGAAGATGCTCTGCGGTACGTCATATGCTTGTTGTCCACAACCCAAATATTGTGAGTATGGAGTAGGTGGATCCAAATCGATACCGCTTTTACGAATATAATCCCAGCCAGTCTGTAGATTATGAGCTGGGCCGGCCAATTTGAAATCGTCCACATATACTGAAAGTATCAGTCCCAGTTTGTTGTGTCTCCATACACATTCCCATCCTGAAATAGGCTCGAAACCGACGCTTTCCAAGCATGTACGGCATTTTCGTTCCCAAAAGACACCTGCAAGAGGGTGTCCGTATAGTGCCAATCGCAATCGGCACACTGGGTTATTGTATTTTGACCATGATGTCGGTTGTCGCCATTTAGGTATAGTAATCCAAGTATCAACTGGATCAATTCGTCCGTCGCCGTATAATAATGCCTGCGTGTAAGCTCCAGGTGCGTCACTTTGCTCTCCCGCATATTGCGGTAATAATGCAGTAGCATCGCAAAGTTTGGAAGCCTCTATATGCGAAGCACTGGAAGCGGCGTCGGCGAATATGGCGGCCAAACCAGTTTCATCTTTGCCTGTATTGCCCTGAACCACCACTCTGCCCTTGAATTTACGTAGATCAGGAGGAAGTTCTTCATGTTTGACTGAAGATAATTCCAATATATTGAAGAAATGCACCTTTGTTCCATTGCGAATAGCTTGTGACTCAATGTCAGATTTTTCTGCAACAGTCTCCAACATCCATGTTTGTTTCATTTCCAATCTCTCGTATTCTTTTCGCAGGGCTTCTTGTGCACGTGGTTCTGCGGCAACTTCTTTCTTACTCAGGTTTCTGGTAACTAATGCTGGGCGTGACCATGTCGAATCTGGTATTTTATCTCTGTGTGCCGGCATGTAGTTGGTCTCACGTGGCATGGTTGGTATTGCTACCGACTGGGTGAACTTGCGTATGAGCGGGTTCAAAGTCCCAAAGTCGGTTCCTTCATTATCCACAAATACCAAAGCACGTTCTTCTCCATCGTGCTGTTGTGGTAGTTGACGGTAGTATAGTACCGTGGTAATGTCACGTGGCCCACCAGGTAATTTGGCATACAGTATTTCTTTGTTTGTCACGCCTTTGACATTCTCGTCGCGGATGACGTCACCATTGTCAGTGTCGTATGTAATCCGTCGTTCCACAGTATTCCATGTGGGTCCGCCTGATGTAGTAGTACGGAAATTGTTGACCTGTTTATCCTGTCTTGTCCACACTCGCAATGCAGCACGATCACGAATTTCACGGGCTCGTTTAACGTCGTTGGCGTAATCGATCTCTTTCTTTTGCTGTCCACGGGAAAGTGTTTTCCAATGCTCGGGAAGAACGTGATCAGGACGTGTAGTAGTCTGCACACGTGTCTCGCGTCCACGAACCACCATTTTGCCGTCTGGCGTTATTTTTGGAAGCTCATAGAACTGAATCGTGCCTGTCCACGGCTCGCTCAGCTCCCTGTGGTCGTTGGCGCTAACACCATCCCAAACATCTCGGAAGTTACTTTCGCCCTCGAAAGTAGAAGTCGTTTTGAAATCTCGTGTCACGTCGAGTTGGTCAACAGGTACTGGTATATTCATGACGTCGTCCGCTGGGATGAATAGTTTCTTTCTTGGGGTACGAATGTGTCTGATGACGCAATATCCACGCTGTTCCCAGTAGTCTGGCTCCGGCGCTGGTGCAGCAACTTCAGAAAGCCGATGTCTGGATATCAACAGCGTTATCTTCCGTTGTCATCATAGACGGATCATCCCATTCTTTAGGGTAAGAAAGTGGAGGATCAGGCATTGGCTTGTCACCCAAGGGGCGAGAAGTAGATGCCTTCACCTCGTCGTGCGCCTCAGGGTTATGATGTCGTAGAGTACCATCTTTCACGGGGTAGGTGAACTTGCCATCAGGGATGATGATGTCTTTGACTCTGTGCACATGGCACAGATCACCATCAGGGTTCTTGGCGTATGTAGCCGTGTCCAAAACAAGGTAGTCACCTGACCATCGTCCACCAGAGTGTAAGTGGTATCCCATGAATAACCCTTCCCGAGCGTTTTCTTTAAATTTTGCAGTCTCGTTGTTAATCTCGGGGTTGAGGCATTTCCAAAATATCCGAGCACCGAATGGTATGCAGTGCCCAGGAAAGCTTTCGCCAAATCTTATTTCATGAGCTGTCTTTTCTGCATGCCCTCTTGAGGGCAGCAACGCCCGTGGATGTATGCACAAAGTTGTGTCCACAGCAAAAGGCTTGCATGGCCTCTTTCCACCATTCGTGTCCCAGACCAGACATATGTAACACAGCTCTGGTACCAAGGATGACAATTTTGACAACCCGCTCAATCAATCCATTTGTCTGTGGACGATGTGGCGTACTCGTGTCGTGTCTCCATCCCAATTGGCGGCAAGCTTTCTGAAGCTCTCCAGAATTGTCTGTGTAGATATGCTTCACCTCATCGTTCGCGGCGATGAACTGTTGAAAGGATGCCTTTGTAGTAGCTGCGTCTTTGTGTAGCGCTGGGTAGGCCATGAAGATGCCAGTATATCTGTCAAGGACAACAAGTGCATATTTGTCGCCATGTTTGTCCGCGGCATCGTCTTTGGCCAGTACGATATGGTCAGCAGTTAGAGCTTCACCGAACTTCTTCGGGACAAAAGCTTCGTAGGCGTTATCCTCTTCGGTGGGGTCTGCCGGTGGATGTGGTTTGCGCTGTCGTCTACACGGGGCATTCTGTGCCATCGTACGAGAACAGATCTCACAGTCGGGATGTTTTGGGCTGTGAGTCATGTAATGCATCGGGTCGATCGGTTTCTTTTGTCTGTTGGGCAGAACTCGATCGTTGTCTGGATGCGTTCGTGTGGGTGTCTCTGTCGGTATGTCGTTGTCTGCTTGAGCTATATCGAACCCCCCGCATTGTGGAGGAGAACACTGCATCTGAGACGTAGGCGAGTCGGTGGTCGTGTCCACGTTGGTCTCGTCTGTTCTTGTGTCGGGAGGTTCTTCGACCGTGATGGTCCGTGCTCCTCCTCCCTCTCCGACATGTGGTCTCTTGGGGCAGGTCCCTATGTGGGGTCGTAGCTCGTCTGCAGTGGTTGGTTGCTCTGTAGTTTTGCAGCACCAACAAGTGTCGTTACAGCGGGCGGATGAACGCTTTCGCTGACGACGGCGGGGTGCTGACGAAGTGCATAAACGTGGTGGTGGTATCCGTGTTAAGTCGTCAAGTCGTAACTCTGGCACTCGATTGTTGACTGGAATCTTATACCATTGGCCCCCCGGATCCTGAAGCATGTAGCCCAGCTCAGGATCCCAAAGCTGTCGAAAGCCATCAACCTCGATCAATTTTCCAACTGATAGTAATGATGGGCAGTCTGGTAAAGCAAGGGCTGAACTATGCAGTCCAACTTCGGGTAGCCGTATGTCGTAGTGCTCGTTGACGGTACGATCACCATTTGCAGTTTCCAGAATATGCTCTTCGCGAATAGATATGCGATCCGACTCGGTCTGCGTAAGTTCATGTTTTCCCTGAATATGATGGGCAGAACCACTGTCAAGAACCCAAGACCTTGTCAATGCTGCAGTCGAGCGTGGAGTGTCGACTTGCTTTGTCGTTGTTGTCGTCTGGGCAGTCTTTGATGACTGCTTGACAGTGTCGTCATGCTTTCGGATCGCAGTTGGTGTGGCCACCGACTCTTTGTTGTGTCGGTAGTCGTACAGTTCGTCGTACCATAGTTGTGCCTCTTTTTGACATTCTCGTAAGGCCTCTGCACTATCATCCCACCATTTTTGTGGTAATGGATCTGGTACTTTGACGATGTCACCCTCATTCGGCAGCTCTTTCCACCTGTCCAGTCTGGCTCTGCCAGATATGGTATGGAAATAGTAGTCCACGTTGCGTACGTCGAAGCGTATCCGACGACGTATCTTGGTAGATGTCGTTGTGGCCTTGGTGTTGGCCATGAGGGTCTTGTCGCGGATGACGCAGCTGCGGTCTGAACGGCGTGAATGTCTAAAGTTGGCAGGAGAACGTGCTCTAGTGTTGGGTGAACCACGGGACGATCCGCGGCTCGGATACCGCTTGCCACGTCCTTTGTCACTGCCATATGATCGATCACGGCCGCGTGGACTGCCACGTCCGCCGCCACGATTGTCTCGTCCTCGGGAGGTAGATCTCGAAGATCTGTCGTAACGACTTCTCGATTGGCTGCGAGAGTCTTGGGACCTCCTGGATGTGGAACGGGATCGGTCGTATTGGCGTCGGTTGTCACGTCCCTGTCGTGAATCGCTTGCGTAGCGAAACCCCCCGCGTTGTGAAGACGTTGGCTTCCTGATCCGCGGGATGGTGATCGGCCACGGCTGTCCTGGCTGGAAGTCCGCGGTCGACTCGGGCTTCGTTCAGGAGTCTTTGCACCAGGTGCGAGATGAGCGTATTTGCATTTGTCGCCTTTTGTGCACTTGTTCTGTGCGAAATCCTTGCACTGTGCGACGTGCGGGTAGTTACACTTATCACCTCTGGTACATGTGTTGCGCTTGGCAAAATCGAAGCAGAACGGCCTTGATGTTGGCTTCTTGTGATTCGCAGGAGTGGACATACTACGGCGGGGGTTGCCACCAGCCTTTGATGTTCTGGAAGATTCG